AATAAGCTGCCAGGTCTGCCTGTTGCATGTGGTAAATTGACCCTGGCAGGTAGAGGAAGCAAGGCCTCAGGAGATTTAAATGGCACTGCTATTTAAATGGCCTGCTAGTCTTCTTAGATCACTGATCGACCCTGGCACATGTACACAACATCACAGAGGGTGGGACCGGATGTGCCCTAGACAGTGCCTCGACTCCTGACTCCTTTAAAGATGAGGAAGGATGGAGCCAGGACCTGTGCCCAGGCACAGTGAGACCCGTTGTCCTCCTAGCACCTTGCTGACCTCTACTGGTGTCCCTGACTCCCCCTCACCTTCTGTTTGGCTTCCCATCTTGGCCCCCTCATAGCCTGGCTCCTTGGCAGAGTTCCTGGCTGACCAGACACTTGTGTGACTTCTGGCTCCCTTGGCTGGGCTCCCTTGACCCTACAAGCTCTCTTCCTGGCTTCAAACCCTCCTCAGAAACCTAGGTGCTGCTTCTAGAAACATCCAAACAGTAGCTCTCAGCTCCCTGGTGAGGTGTTCTTGACAACATCCAGATGTCCCTGAGATTAGGGAGCCCCACCCTTGGGGCTGTGTGGTTCCCCTGAAGTCACAACTCCTGGCCCTGCCAGCCAAGCCAGGTGACCATAAAACTTATCATTATATCAAGGCACCTTAAGAGTGGAAAGAGTGCTATTAATTATTTCAGCTGTATGCTAGGGACAAACAAGGCCCTTCCCTGGCCAGTGGGAATGTGGGCCAGGTAGTAGCCAGCCTGACTCCCCCCTTTCAGGAGTAGCAACAGTCCACATGCATTGCAGCCCAATTGCACCAAGCCCTGTACAGAGCACTTTACAAGCAAATGCCATTCACTTAATTCTTACAACACTCTTATTTTTCAGAGGAGAAAACAGAGGCTCAGAGAAGTAATTTTCTGGATAATAGGTTACAATTATCCTATTACTCTAGGGTTATTCTAACCTGATTATCACATGATGCACCTGCATGGAAATGCCACCTCGCACCCCACAAATTTGCACAAATTCTGCATGTCCATTAAAATACAAATGTGGAGGGAGGATTCATGTAACCAAAATATGTTATATGCAGGTATGAAAATGCCACATTGAAACCCAATATTTTGTAAAACTAATAAGCACTGATAAATATATTACAATGAAAGGAAATACATGCAAAACATACAAAAATAAATATTTTTTTAAATAATAAAAAGAATTTTTTAAGTACTTAGCTGGAGGTAACAGCTAATAAGTGGTGGGCTCAAGTCTAATTCCAAAGCCTCCCTTTAGGCCCTGACCAGTATGATAATGGAATTAATAAAAACAAAACCTTCAGTGGGGATACAATAAACACAACCCCCAGATCAAAAATTGGTTATGCTGTAGAAGAATGACAGTTGATTGCTTGGAATTTGAAATGTACTTTCTCATGGTTAAAAAAAAAGGGCTAAAATGGTGGTTAGGCTCCAAATTCAACCAAGAAAAGTCTGTGCAGACTATAATTACTGTGGTCTACTCCTCTTTGTAGTACTGAACTGAATGGGAAACAGAAACCATAGGTTTCTGTCACAGTTCTAATTTACTTACTGGCTATGTGACATAGGACAACTTACTTAACCTCTCTGGGCCTCAACCTTCTCAGAATGGAGATAATGTCTAGCTTCTAAAAATTGCAAGAATCACAGAAGACAGTGTACATAAAAGTCCTTTAAAAATAGCACTTGTCATACTATAGGAAGCACCACTTAAGACACTGCCAAGGGCAAGTTAGGTTTCCAAGAATCCTAATTCTGGTTCACATAGTGGAGATAGACAATGTGATATTTAAACATATGTGTCCGATTTATTTTTCCTTAAGAGTATGGTGTCAAAATGTATCCATTTACCTAGAAATGTCTCAAGTTTATCCTTCTTTATATCCAACTGATTTTTGACAAAGAGGCATATAAAATGTAGTAGAGGAAGGAAGACCATTTCAAGAAATGGTGCTGGAAAAATTGGACACCCATAGGTCATAAAATGAAATGATGTAAACATAACAAAAGTTAGTTCAAAAATGATCGGATTAATCCCAGCACTCTGGGTGGCTGAGGCAGGAGGATAATAAGTTCAAGCCCACTCTGTCTCAAAATAAAGTTTTTTATAAGTCTGTGGATGTAGCTCAGTGGTAGGGTGCCCCTGGGTTCTATCTCCAGTACTAATTTTTTTAAGAGGAAGTGGTCTAAGACATGTAAAATGCAAAAATTCTTAGGAAAAAAAAATTAAAGAAATCTTTGAAATCTGGGGTTAGGCAAAGAGTTCTTAGATTTGACACCAAAAGAATGAGCTACAAAGAGAAACACTGATAAACAGGACCTTATCAAAACTGAAAACTTATGCTCTGTAAGACTGATAAATGATGAAAAAACAAGCTATAGAGATAGAGAGAAAACATATGCAAATCATGCATTCAACAAAGGACTAGTATATATAAAGAACTTTCAAACCTCAACAATAAAAGAAAAAAATTCAATTAGAAAATGACCAAGAGACATGAGCAGACATTTCACCAACGGAAGATACGCAAAGCGATAAGCACATGAGAAGATGTTCACCATCCTTAGCCACTAGAGAACTGAATATTAAACGTTAATGAGAAACAAGTCTTGCAATCATTTCTAGTTTGACTGAGCCATATACTTACAGCTCACATAAGGTCTAGTGTGTAGAAATTAATAATGCATTCATAAAAGAGCTTAACTGTCTCTCAAGTTGACTTATTCTCTTCTTATTTTATCATACGAATTAAATGCTCTGGTGGTATTCCAAACATTGGAAGGTCTCTCTTCCAGGCACCACATCTAATTCCAGCAGTATTTAGTAACTGATGAGACACAGGAGTAGCTTTAGCATTCCTGAAACTTGGTGCCATTTGACCCTATCAATAGTTATGGCAGCTCTGTAGGGTGGGCAGAAGCTGGGCCCCTTCCCAGCTATGTGATGTAACGAGGAATCTATGCCTTTGATACTCAGCCCACCTCTGAAAATGAGAGTAATTCTCACTTCACAGGGCATTGTGGGGATCAGACCCAACATGATGGGTGTGACGCTGAGGCCAGCGCTCAGTGTGGCTGTGGGCACCACACTGTCTCTGCACACAGGCCAAGCTGCAATTTGGGAGGAACTGAATGAATCTTTCCAGAGAAGTTCAGTTATGTTGCCCATATGGTAAAAAATATCTGAGACAATCCCAAATTTATTATTTTTCTTTGCTCTTCTTTAAATATGCTAATGTCTGCCCAAGCATGTATCTTGTTTTGTTTCCCCCCCCCCAAACACAAGATTATTTTTCTACACCCCGTTTCTGGCTGGGGGTGCTGCTCAAATGCCTGTGTGTGCTTTCCTTCAATGTGGGAATTACTGGTGCAGGAAATACCATAGGATTCCTTTTCTCACCAGGGCCTGGCAGAGCCTGCCCAGAGCAGGTGCCTATAAGTACTTGTTGAATGAAAAAAAAAAAAATGAATGAATTTTGATGTTGTAGAAGAGCATGAAATTGGGACTGAGAACACCACATAGGAAGTGTGATCAAAAGCTACAGTGAATGACTAAAAATTTCTTACAGAAAAAGATGCATTGCCATTAATCACTCTCAAAATCCTCCCCTCACTTCAGACACATCTATTCCATCATCCTTGCCAGCAGCAGTCACTGCGTTCTTGATCATGCCTCATGAATATGCTCACAAAAGAGGACTTCCAGAACTGCTTCAGAAAGTGGCAAAAGCAACAGGATGAGTGTATTTGAAGTGAGGGGGGCTGTGTAGAGGGGGATTAATGCCAATGTGTTTTTTACTGTAATAAACATTTAAAGTTTAAATATTCAGCACATAATTTGACCTCATTTTCTATATTAACCAGGAAGATATTTGGGATTAAAGGCAACAGAGGGTCGGGGAAGCAAGACACATCCAAGTAGCACTGGAAGACACTGGAATTAAACTGCTACTCTTTGCTAGGCACAGTGAACAATGCAGTGGTGTCAGGAAGGATTATTTGGGAAAAAGAGTGAAAATAGAAAGGATATAATGAATTTAGATCTAGGCAGAATAAGACAAGAGGCCATGTAAAATGGAGGAGAAGAAGGGGCATCCAATTGTGGAAGCCTGCAAAAGCTGCAAGGAAGGAACAGTCACGGTTTTCTTAAACTAGCATTGCTGTTGCTGATGAAGATATTAACAGCAAACCTGTGCATGGTGCTCTTTATGTGCTTTACCTATGTTTAACCTGTTCAGTAATTGTGTGAGATAGTTACTGTTATTCTCGCCTCTTGACAGATGGAGACACTAAAAAGTTAAGCGATTTGCCCAAGGTCACACAGCTAGTAAGAAAATTGCCCATAAATTAGCATTGTGAACCCTTGAAATATGCTTGTAAGGAAGACCAGGGAGTTCCTTCTGCCCAGAGAACAACATGACCCTTATCTTCTTGCATACATTCCTATAAACATGAGTAACTGGACTTTTATAGGACTGCTCTACTGCTGCACAGTTACAATGGTAGTGTAAGTGAAAAATCCATCACTGATATTCTGAAGGAACCAGAAATTCATGTGTAGGACATTCCTGCCACCTCTCAGGGGTCTCCCAGAGGTCCTCTCACTCACTTTCTGACACGAGCCTTAGGAGTTCTGAACATTCTGGGAATGTTGATCAAAACCATGTCGGACATGGTATCACAGCTTGCACCCAGCCTGGTTCCCACCACTTTTTCTTAAGATGGTGGTGCTTTTATTTTTTCATATTTCTTATCATTTTCCTCAAAGTAGAGTCTCTGTCACTTTCACAACCTGATGTCCTGTGATGTGTTGGGGTGTGTGTGTGTGTGTGTGTGTGTGTGTGTGTGTGTGTGTAACAGAATGTGTGCTGTGACTGTATGGGCTTTGAAAGAGTGGCTGGTGCCCAGGCCCGCTGCTTCAAGGATATCTGTTAATAAAGCCCTGCATCTTCATCCAGCTCTAGCAATGCTCTGCTAACAACAGACGGAGATCATTCATGTGTAAATGGAAACACACCAAGAAAAAATTAATACCAAATGTACAGCAAGATCAAAAGAAGAAATAAATTTCTCAATGGAATACTCAGAGCTATGCAGAGACCACTGGTTACTGCTGCTTCCCATAAAATTGAAGGTCAGAGCATGTTTCAGTAAACTTCTTTAAAAGGCAGGGACTAGCCAGAGGCTGTGATTTTAAAATCCCACAATGGTGATTTCCCAAACTCCAGCTGAATCCTGAATTACACAGGGAATATGTTCCCCCAAAATACCGTAATAAATGAGAAAAATAACTAGACATATCGAGGTCTGTAGAACCAAGGACCTACAACCAAAATATTTTCATTTAAAAACAAATGACACAAACTACTTCAGTGAATTTAGTGGCCATGAAGTATTTGATCACAAATTACTTTGATGTATTTTCAAAATCAAAAAAACATATAGACACATTGTAACAAATTATTGGCTTGACTATTATTATCAGGTGAGTCTACCTTATCAAGTGTGGCTTCTCGGGTCTGGTGATATTCACTTATCCATTCAATCCATTCAGAGAATATTTATTGAATGCTTAGTAGGTCTCAGGATGGCTTCTGAGAAAAGAGTAGAATAGTTCAGAGTAGGACTGGGAATCAGAGAGACTCTGCGTAAAGACCCACTCCACCATCCATCGTTACAGTGGAACAATGCTCCATAAGAAAGTAAACCTCTCCCGGCCTCTGATTTCTTATCTGTAAAATGAAGATAGTTATACCTGCCCTGCAGAATTGTAGAGATTAAATGAAGCAATATATATTAGATATCAGACACTTAGTCCATGCTTGGACACCATAATGTTCCGAGGGAAAGTGGGGGGGAGGTGGTACTCCAAAAACATATACACCTTGAACACAGAGATAGCCTGTTATCTTCCTTCCCACTCCCTTTCTAAAAGTCCTCAGCGATTCCACTACTCATCCACAGTCCCATAGGATCCCAAATGTGTCTAGTAGCAGAGGAGAAGGGCCACGGGAGCAGGGAACATGCAAAGGCAGGAATAGAACATGCACAGGAAGAGAAAGCCCAGCTAGGGTATCAAGGCTGCCCACTTCCTTTCTTTCCTCAGGTGGGGGAATAATTTCCCCTTATCTCCCAAAGGGAGAGGAGCCCATGGACCCCTCTGGACATCTAGACACCTCAGACCCAGGGAACAGTCTGGATCCCTCCCCACATCTCCCCCCGCTGGAGGGACCTGCAGTGCAAGAAGGGCCCCATGGAGGCTTACTGTTGTCCTATAGGGCAAAAAGAGGTAGAGGAAGTTTTGAGGGTATGGCTTTGTGGAGGCTGGGGCTCAGAGGCTGCCCCAGAGCATCACACCACAGACACATACCTACAAAAGCAATGTAAGACACTCACTAAATCTGAGCTTCAGATAAACAACAAATCATTTCCTAATATAGGTTCCGTGTAATATCAGGACATACTTATACTAAAAATCATTCGTTGTTTATGTGAAATTCAAACTTAACTGAGCATTTTGTATCATACCTGGCAACCCTACTCAGAAAGAGAACGTACTTTATTGTCCTGTGCGTCTGTGTGAGACCAGATGGGACAGAGCATCTCTGGGTAGAGCTCTGATCTGCTGTCCTGCAAGTGCACCCCGGGGCAGGCGCCTATAGCCCAGTCGCTCTGAATAGATATGGAGACAGAATCTCCATTGTGTAGGGCATGGTGCTAGGTGCTGGAGAGGTATAGAATAGTCCCTGACAAAAGGATCCACTAACTAATAGAGGATCAGGACCAATGGGACAATAATCACGATAAAAATAATAAAAAATAACAATGGTAATTGTTCGTAGTTATTGAGAGCTTATCGAGACATTATTGTAAGCACTTCACAAAATTCTCACAACTATGCTATGCAGTCGATTTTGCTAACGCTAGTTTACAAACCTTATAAGTAAGGTAACAGTGTAATTTTTCACCCAAAATGAGAAATGAGTTACAGTGAAAGAGACTGCTATTCATAATAACGCAGAGTAACAGATATAAAACAGACCTTTCCTGTACATGGGGATGAAAGGATCCGACTTAGACTGCTAGTCTAAGTCATGCCTGGGTCTCACCTGTAGGAAGTGGTGCTAGGAGAGTTGGACTCCAAGCAGTATAGCTCCAGAACTTGTCCCCTTAGCTATGAACAACAGAGAAGGGGTTTGTTCATTTATATGAACTTCTTCACATTAGGCACTAAGCTCTTTGAAGAGGGACCTTCTGCTTCGATCTCCCTTAGCACCTAGTACCCAGTACCCAAGCATAAAATGGGTGCCCAAAAAGTACTTTATGGCAAACCAATCTTGGAAGCCTTTGAGAACAGGATAGGCTATGAGTATAGTTTGACCAATCTTGAGTTACCTCTGCAGGGACAACACCTTTCTCTCTCGATCTGTTCTCCTTTCCGGGTATTTGAGATGGGGTGAGAGAGGACCACTGAGCGAGCTCAACATGTAATTGAAAACTGAAGTGCTGGGACATAAGCAAGGTGACATCTGCACTCACGCAAAGTCTCGAAGGACTGGCAACTCTTGCCAGTCTTCTACATGGGCATTCAAACGCCAACTGCCTGCCCTCTGCAGTCCAGTTCTTTCGGAGGGACAGTGCCCAGGCCTGCAGGGTCAACTGCCCTCCACTGAGCCCTGTAGCACAGAGCAGCTCCCTGCTCCCTGAGGTGCTAACCCTGACCCCCAGGGAAGTCCCCAGGTCCCAGCCAGCTCAGACCTGCAGTCCTCTGAGTTCTTACTACCACCCCGGGCCTGAGGCCACCCTCTTCTTGTTCCAACCACACCCTACAGGCTGCTAATTCTATCCCTCTCAGCAAATCTAAACCAAGGATCATCCTTTGCAAGCCCACACCCTCTGTAAACAGGAATCACAAAACCCTTAAAACAATAAACAAACTCCTCCTTTTTGCTTGAGGATCCACTGCCCACCTTTTAAAAAGAGAGCAAAGTTATAGAAGGGGAGACAACATCTGGCAGCAGACGCCCTTTCCTCTCTCCAGAAAGCTGTCCTTAAACCCAGTGACTACTGCCTGACCGCTGCAGAATGAACAAAGCAGGGTCCTCCCGCAATTAACTGGTGCAGCTGAACTCCCTGGATAAGGCTGAGGTCATGCCCTGTGTCTTTTAAGTACCTGATACTTTCCTGAATCCTAATATCTGGCAAGTGTTTCACATGTAGGGATTCAATAAACATAATTAACATAATTTGACCACTCAGGATGCATCTGAGCTTAAATACCCTAAGTTACTTCTGACATAAAAGTGTTAGTGTGGGCCAGAAAGAAGTCTACCAGGTAGTGAAACCCTAATCCTGAAAATGAGAAAGAAAGGACAACTGAATCGCTTTTCAACTTGCTCCTGTCCCCTTTTTTCGGTCTCTAACTCTCGGACTTGGCCACTGTTAGCTGAGTGATGTTGGATAGCTCGATGAATTTACAGGCCCTCAACTTCCTGAAACTCAGGCAAGCAGGTTTGACAAGAGGATCTTAAGGTCCTTTCTAAACCTGATATTTCAGGGATCCAGCTGCCCAGCAAGTGAGGAGTAGGGATGAGTGATGAGCATGGATAGATGCATGGGGCTAGGATAGGTTGGCTGGGAACGGGAGAATAAATATGGATTTGGGAAAGGAACGAAGCACTGAAGACAAAGGTGTACTTGGTAGCTGCCCCTCCCCCAAAGGCTCACTTTCCCCTGCTGAGCAGATGACAGGTGTCACATCCTACGCAGTGTCTGGCCGATGCTCAAGCTTCTAAGCCCATCCTTTACTTCCCCTTGTTCACACCTTATGAGTTCTGCCTTGTTCTGGTGCTACTCAAGGCATGGTGAAATTACTGAACTGCAAACTGAGGTCCAGGGCAACTGAGTAAGACAGACACAGCTCCTCAGGGAGTTTATAGAATAGAAGAAAGGCAGATGTTTTTTTAAAATCCTCTGTTAAGTATTAATTGTATACAGGCTGCTCTCAGACTGTATCACAGGCACTCCACACTCTCGGGGAGCAGGTCAGAGCGAGTGACCCTGAGCAGATCATTTAAATTCCAGTGTCTTTTCGTCATTTCCCTCATGGAAGCTTTTTGGTGGCCTCCAGTGTGCACCCTGGAACAGCGACTTGGTCTCCATCCCCAGCCTCTTGAAGGCTGTTGCTGTCCAAACAGGCTGCCACCCTGGGGTGCTGAGAGTTGTACACAAAGAAAGGGGCCAGAACCTTGTGAAACTGCCCATCCCTAGGGCACCTTGGATCCTTTCTAACCACTGGCATTTTCTAGTGCACGCAGCAGAAAGTTCCAATACTAAATCTTTGAAAGGAGAGAAAAGAAATTAGAAATTAAAAGCAAAGAGATCTGGCTGATACCTAACTCTAGAAATAAGAGTGTCTAATGGTCTCAGGGGTACTCCACATTTTATCCCTCAACTGTGCTCTCCGGGGCTGCAAAACGGAAGCTCCTAGAAATTAGAACATTCTGGTTTGCACCAGGAATTCATGTCCAGAAACCAAGTCACTACAGCAGAGCTTGGAGTCACAGCATTCTCCTTCCTAATCATCTGCATCATTTATATGTTATTTGTGACTGCTTCCTCTTCTAAGGAGATGCCCACAAATTTGACAGTAACTAAATCCGACCCAAAGAAAAAATCCTGAATCACTTTTTAAATTACTCCCATCCCTCTTTTCAGTCTCTCTCCAACTCGAAGGCTTTGCCACTTTCAAGCCAGGGGACCTTGGCTAGGTCCCTGAACTTCCTGAGGCCTAAATTTCCTGGCACTAAGTCAAGCAGGTTCAACAAGAGGATCTTAAGGTCCCTTCCAAGTCACAATCCTTTGTGCTATCATCATGAGTCAGTCTTAATCCTAAACGTATCCGTCCTGAAATGGCTTCTGAAGACAACAGTGTGAGCGGAGGAATGATGGGGAGAGAGAGGCAAGGAGCCAGCGGGTCTGGGTGATTCAGTTATCTGGCCTCTGAATGCATGCCTGTCCTCAAAAGAGACATTATGGAGGCTACTAAGTTATTTTGAAGCTATAAGACTTCAGGACAAAAATTTGAATATCATCATCTTTTGCTGTTTTAACAAGCTACCAGTTACTACTAATTTTTACCTGATTTTCCATGAGGTATTATCTGCAAAACTACTGGTATGGTCTCTCCGCAGACGCATCTCTGTGTTGGAGATCCAGAGAGCAAGGAAGGGAGAGAGTGTGTTAGTCCTCCAGGATACTCCACATTCTATCTCTCAGCTGTGTTCCCTAGTGCTGCAAAACAGAAGTTCCCAGAAATTAAAATGAATTTGTGTTCAGAAACCTAGACAGTGCAGCAGAGCTTGGAGTCACATTTTCAGTGACATTCTTTCTAAGGTTACAGGAAAGGCCCTCAGGAAGTCTGCTCCCAGCTGGATTCTGAGGAGAGGAGCCACACATTCTCCTTGGGCCATTTCAGTCTGGGGAAGCAGAAGGCAAAGTAGCAAAATGAGAGGAGGTGTTCAGGGAGCAGTGGGGAGCTGGATGTGACTACAGAGAGATCCCCAGGAACTCAGTCTTCCCGGCTACCATCAAACACCAACTGATCTGTGTTTTCTAAAGCTCACTATAGCAGGGAGATGGATTCTGGACACTCCCAGACTCCCAACAACCTTGTTCCTCTCCCACCTCTACAACCCCTTCAATTTCCATTGCCCCATGAGCTCCTCCCAGATTTTCTTAAGGAACCCTCTAGAGAGGATTTCTCTCAAAGTTTCGACAACAGTATTCCTGAGAATTTGCGGGAAACTGTCCTGGAGCTTGCACTTTTTGTAAGCTTCTGGGACACTCTTCTGCACACTGGTACAACAGAACCTCTGGGAGGCTGGTTTCTGAGCTTCGCTGCATCTACTTTGACCTTTGGGAATGGTGCCCTTGGCAAGCCTGGAGTCCCATGGTGAATTCTGTGGCCGTAGATGCATATCTTAAATCATGGACAACAAAGAAGTTTTAGTGCTAATGGAGGAGGATGAGACTTGGTAATTTCTTTCTTTTGTTCATCAGTAGTTTTCCTCCTACAAAGAATTTGAAATACTTGCACAATAATAATTTTAGAGATATGTTAAATAAAATAAATGTAAGGAGCACCCAGTATTTGCAAGCACTGCACTGCTGGAAGAAATAAGTTGCCTGGAAAGGGTTACATAGAGCAGGGAAGTACGTTGTTTGGGGCAGGAAAAAGAGGCCTTGTAACAACAGGAAGCACTGGGAGGCCTCGGTATCAAGGCTTCCAAGCAAAGCGGTTCTGGGAACAATGGCTGCCTGTGGCTCAGGAATATTAGGCAGGAAATGAAAATGCTGGGGTGCGGGTGCGGGGACGAGCTGATAAGCACTACCTGGCTGTTCTTCACATAGGCTGGCCTCCCAAAGATGAAGTCTTTTTTTTTTTAATGTTCCCCATCTCCCACCAGCAAAACTGATTTTAGAAAAGCACAGATGAGAAGAAGCCATGGTACCATGGGTTGGAAACTTTAGGAAGCTGTACTGCCCAGGAAACCAGAGGCTATGATAAGCAAGGGAAAGGCATGAACATATGAGTCAGGGGCAGGACCTTCAGATGAACCAAGCACCATGTACAGCTAAGTCTCTAGAGGGATCAGGTTTCCATAAAATAAAGTAGTGTTGGGGTTAGTGGGAGTCCAGCCATACCAAAGGAGATATGTATAAACTTCTGAGGTTGAAGTTTGTATTTTATTTAACACAAATTTCTGTTCCTATGGGTGGGATGAGTTGGGGAGTTATGAAGAAGCCAAATGCAAAACAAAAATGAAACTAGCCAAGAAAATAACTCTAATATTTTGTCTTGGAAGACTTGGATGTAAACCAGAACCAGTAGGAATGAGGATCTGATATGCAGTCTTAATTTCTACCCTGAGACAATTCAGAAAGGAGAGTTACATTCCTCAATGTCTAAACTCTAATACCTGTAGGACAGGACCAGGATTTATCCTTCTTCATTCCTTATATAAATCCTTCTCCAGTGTTAAACTGCTTTTAGACGTGAAATCACCTCTGTGTCCTGCTGCTTTCTTTCTGGTCTTCTTCAGCCTTGGTCTGCCTTGGTTTCTCTAGTGAGGAGGTGATCCTTATAAAAGGGCATGGACTTTGGATTCAGACCTAACTTCTGATTGTACCCCAGCTCTGTCACTGGCTGTTTAACCTAGGACAAGTCATCTAGCCACACTGAATCTTCCCTTCTCACCTAGAAAATAGGAATAGTAATCTCTACACCTCGAGGTTGTTAAGAACTGAATGAAATAATGATGGTCAAGCCTGGGATTCCACAGAGCATCTGATCAGACCATCCTTATGGCTCTCCTCAAGACATACAAAATGTAGGCGCACTGGACACACTCAGAGGAGAAAAAAACTTACATAGTTCTCATTCTTAAAGTGACTGGTGTTCAGTACGCATGTGGTTCTAGACACAGGTTTATTTTCCTACTTTATCTCTCGTTAGCCTGCTTAGTTCCTGAACCTTCTCTCCAAGACTCTGTGGAGCAAGACATATGTGGGCATCCTCCATTCCCACTCAAGGGCTGCCTTTGGGGACATCTCACATTGCAGGTGACAAGAAAGCTGCTCCTCCAGCAAATAAATCTCAATCAGGTGATTCACACTGACTGTGCTCTTTCTGCAGTTGGTTGAGAGTTAGCTAATTTTGAATGGTTTGTTGTTGCTCCCCACTTTTGAGCCTGGGAATGTCCTGAGGGTTGACTCTCTCCATCCTCCATGAGCAGACCCCTGGAGTGAGAGATATCTGCCTTACAAATCCTCTGAGAACACAGCTTCTCTGTGGTGACAGTAGGGAGGATGAACCCAAGAAGGGCTTTATAAATTACACAGAGCTTGGCAGCCTCCGATTTCATCAGCGGGACACCAAACTCCTGTACAGTTTCCATGTACTGAATGAGGCAGCTCTAAGCCCTGGACTATGTAGGCTTTCTGCAGCTTGTTTGCTGTTCACAGACTCATCACACCTTAGTCCCTCCTGGGCTGTTCCCCTGGACTCATCGGCCCACTGATGATGTGTGGTCCAGAAACTTCCAACACCCTACACCAGCTCAGCATCGGAAAGGCTCTTAACTTTCCTAAAGAAATGTCAGGCGATGGGTAGAAAAGAGGGGCCTTCTTCTCACCCCTTGTATCCTTGACTAATCTTAGGTGATCCTCAACACTGACCGTAGAAAACACTGTATATTTTTGTTTGGGGTGTGATGTGTTTGTGCCAGATCTTTTCCTCCAAATTTCCCACAACCTTTCTTAAAAGACTGTTTCCTTCCAGGAGACGAACTCTGTTGCTTCACCCTCAGGAGGCAGCTGCCTGGGTTGGGCATTACTACTCTACAGGCAATAAGGGAAATGTTAAGTGTTTCAGCATACGGGGCCTTTATCATCAAAGCAATGTTTTAGGAAATTTTACCTGGCAGCAGAGATCAAGACAGAATGCAATCTTCCTAGGTCATTATTTTAAAATCCCCCAATTTATCTGAGCAGTTTTCTTCCACCGGACTAGTCTAGTCAGCATTCCTGGAATTCACATTATTTCTTGTTTTTCCACCTCGTTGAAACCATTCTCTGTTCCCCATGCTACCAGAAAGTGTGTGACATTTTCTGAGTGCTTATTGTATGCCAGGCACTTAATTAGGCACTCTGCATAGATCATAGTCTATATCATATCTGATGACATCGAATCTGTCCTCTCAACACATCCCAGTGCACCAGTCTCAGAGTTCTTTGGCACAGCCTTGATCTGACAACACTGCAAGCCCCTCAGCAAGAGGGTCCTGTTTCAGCCCTCTCTAATGTGGTTCGCACTCTATAAATGCACACAATTTCTGTTCTTTTTGAGAAAATCTCCACCTAACTCCCTCCCACCCCACCATGTGAATAATCTTTTCTAGCTCATTTTAAAGATTTTATTTATTTTATGCAAAAAAAACAAAATTTCATAACAAGAGAGTAACAATAGTTAATACACCATGTATCTTTATCTTCAAAGTAGTTACTCGACATAGACAAAACAGATTTTCTCTTACAAAGAAGAAACAGATAATAGCACAAAACTTTCTTTTCAACAAACTAAGAGAAACTAGTAGGATAAAAGAAACAAATTAGCATATATATTAAAATATTTTTGAATAATGAAGTAGGTAATTTGGTGAATTATTTGACCTTCTCCCTACTTCTTATTTATCTGTCTTCTATTTTGCTCTTTATTAGTATATATATCAATTATCTCATATAAGAGAAACCATATGATATTTAAGCTTGTGTGTCTGACTTAATTCACTTACCATTATACTCTCAAGTTGCATCCATTTACCTAGGAATGCCTCAACTTTACCTTTCTTTGTGGAAGAGTAGCATTCCATTGTGTATGAATACCACATTTTCCTTATCCATTCATCTATTGATGGGCATATATGCTGTTTCCAAGATCTAGGTATTATAAATTGTTCTGCTGCTTTAAACATGGGAATGCACGTATCCCTGTAATTTTAACTCTTTGGGGAAGATACCTAGAAGGAGAATAGCTGGGTCAAATGGAATTTGTATGTTTACTTTTTTGAGGAATCTCCATACTGATTTCTACAGTGGTTATACTAGTTTACATCTCCACCAACAATGTAGAAGAGTTCCTTTTCCCCTTTTTAACATCCTCACAGGCATTTGTTATTATTAGATTTTTTGATGATAGCCATTCTTTCTGGAGTAAGATGGTATCTCAGTGTAGTTTTAAGCTGTTTTTCTCTAGTGACCTACACTGTCAAACATTTTTTCATGTATTTATCAGCCATTTATACTTCTGAGAAATGTCTATTCATTTTGGTTGCACATTTTTTGATTGGGTCTTTTATTTTGGGGCGTCTAATTTGTTTGAGTTCTTTGTGTATTCTAGATGTTATTCCTCTGAGGAATAGCTGATAAAAATTTTTTTCCCATTCTGTAGGTTGTTTCTTCACTCTTTTGGTTGTTTCCTTTGCTGTGCAGATGCTTTTTAATTTGATATGATTCCATTTGTTGATTCTAAGCATGTGTATAATCTTTTTTAAAGGCACATTTTTTTGTGCCTGTCTAGGGCCCTTAACATATTTTGCTTGATGTTTTCATACTGGCCGAGTTACTTACACACGTCCTGCCCCCAGCTTCAGTTTTTTCTATTTATCTAGCAGGGAGGGATAAATACCTCCTCATGAGGTGGTGCTGAGGATTGCTTGCGTGCAACTAATGGA